TAAATCATTGTTTGTAATAACTATTTGTAATAACTGTTATTGTAAATTGTATTGTAATTTGTATATTAAAACGTATTTATGTTGAAAAAGAAAACTGTGTATCAATCTTGTTGGCAAATATCATAAATTGAAAATATATCGCCATGAATTTAAATACTAAATCCAAAGTACAATTTAACTACTAAATTTAAGTTATCAGTTAACTCAATTTCAGATCATTTGAAATTCTAATATGTAACAAATATAAAATCTGACAGCAACACCCTTAATAGTATGTATTTTCCAAGCACACAGATATGAGAATAATAGAGACAGGATATGGGAAAACACTCCCATAAACTGCATGATAAGTTCACGAAGAAGTATAAAGAATAATACAGTAAAAAAAACTCAAATGAGATGAAGTCATGTAGGAAAGAGAAGCTTTAACACAGTCTTACATTCAAACTTTTATTAAAATACCTTTTGTTTATATTACATCAATTAGTATAGCATGAAATCACAGCTGATAATTCATATTTTAATAGTATACAAGTTTTAAGTTCTTAATTTTATAAGGCAATATTTAAAAAAAATCCTGAATTTCCATGAGAAAGATGACAAATTTTCTGTAGGCATCCCATCTTCTCTATTTTATTCACCACCCCTCCAATAAGTACAAAATTTAATGTAAATTACTCACTTTAAAACTGTCATTGTTCAGATAAACCATAATTTTTGTACTTTCATTTTGTTTGGTTACAGAGTCATCAAATAGAAAATCAGGCCCTTCTTGCCACACCTACCTGTCACATCCTCTCCTTCAGGATTTGTTAATAGTTCTCTCTCACATTTAATTCTATATTATCTATAACCAATAGAAAGCCAAGGATTTCATATATTAAATGATTTATCATATTATGTTGTGTTCTGAACATAGAACTGTCAACTTCTCTTATAGTACAAGCTTCGTTCCCATGGGAAGGATAATGACTAGAATGGATGAATGTGTAACGGCTCTTGTCGTATAGCTAGAAAGCCAGAAAAATTTTGATTGTTAGAGGAAATTGTCTGCTTTTTTGCATCCTATTATCCTATGTTTTTTGGTGCATTAGTTGATTAAATAAAAATTATTTTGTCCATTATTACCATTAGTATAAAACAAAAGTAGTGTTAAGTGTCATCAACAGTCGACAGCAAAGAAAAAAGGGAGACACAGATAAGTACTTTATTTCTTGTTTTTCATGTTTATTTTTTATTTATTATTATAAAAGTAATGAAAATGTAAAAATAGGAATCTCTTTAGGTTATTTAAGGTAAAATAAATAATAATAACATAATAGAAATATTTCATGTGTAGTAGTTTGTGGGTAATGTAATTCAATAGTGTTATGTGAGCTGCATGTTCCCCAAGTGATTTACAACTTATAATGGTGTGAATAGTAGTTAGGCATGGTTCAAAGGGCAATAAAATAATAAAATTTAAATAAATAGATGTATACAGTTATGAGTTTAAAACTACTTAAGATAAGGGAATGTAGTTTCATGTTACAATTTGAAGTCAATTTGAAAGAAAAAGAGGGTAATTTATATTTTAGAGGTTGGTCAAATTGAACAACCTTGTATAGAGTTAGGGTACAGAAAATAACAGATAAAATATAAAATTTTACTGAAAACAAATATTTGTATTGTATTTAGAAGGTTTTAGAGATAATACAAATGAAATTTTAGATTTTTGAGAGGAAGAAAAGCATTTTTAATCTTAACTTAAAAATCACTTTGCACACAGACTACTCAAAACAAATACTTGATATATTCATGGAAAATCTTTTTTTAGTTTATTAAAAATAATTCATTAAAATATATGATTTTTTGTGTATATACACACACACACTATATTAAAAGTTAGTAGCATCAAATCTATAAAGACTCTGAACAAGAACAAAGAGGTCACATGGTCGGTCAAAATGACCAAGCCCATATTGAGAGAGTTAACTCTTTCAACATGGGCTCGTAATCATTTTGTACTTGTTATAGCTTTCATACAATAACCTTTAAAGTGGTTCTTCACAAATTTTTGCAGATTATTATTAAACATTACAAGGCTTTTGTATGCAGAATATCAGATTTTTATATTAAGTTTTAAGATTTTTTAAATAATGTTTTCTAATGCCTTTTTTTTTTCAAATGTTTACTAACATACCGAGTAATTTTGATTTTAAGATTAAAAATACTTTTATGCATCAGAAAATTTTGAAATTTCACAAGCGAAATCTTTGTAACATCCAAATAATTATCAAATGTTTTTTAAGAAAAAACTATATACGATATATGTTGTTTTCATTGTCAAATCTCTGCACAGGTTTGGTCGATTTGATTGACCTCATAACCACCATAAAAAATTAGGAAATAAATAGAAATTATGCTTTTTTCGTTCAAAAATGACTACAGATTATAACAAGAAAACACAAATGTTTAGTCTAAACAGCTTAAAAATGTTATGATTAATGTTATGAGATTTATTATATTGACTTTTCAGCTGTGTCTGGCTAACATTACAGAAGTTGCAATGACATGGCACATGTGCACTCATGTTACTGTATTCAAGAATATAAAACTGGCCTTTACAAAGTGACCTGTCTTGGCTGTGTTTTAGTGGACTAGTCTTTTGTTAAATACAATCACGTTTCAGATATAATGCATCATATATGTATATACATTATTGCTATTTACAAATAAGATCTTGAACTTGTTTTTCTTAAAACATAGAATAGTAAATAAAGAAGTATAGCAAACAATTATCTCTTCTAGTTATGAACTTTGCACTCATTTGCTGCTTGATATAGGTTACTAAGCCTTATAAAATTTTACACGTGGAGGATGTGAAATGAAATAATTTTTATTAGGTTATATATATAGAATTGCACTATAATTTATCAAGCTTAGTAACTAAGCAGTATTTGGGTGCAAAAAAAATCTTACCTTACTGCTTTGAATCTAGCATAAAAAGAAAGTTTGCCACCTGAATATTTCAAATAGGCTGAGAAAGCCACTCGGGGGCCCATTCAAAGCTTTCAATTGGTTATCACAAGTCATAGACAGAAGTAGGTGTACATGAGCAAGTGTTTCTACAAATGGAAAGAGGCAGGTGGGGCCACTGTGTTTCAGTCAGTAAATGTATAAATATCTCAGCAAATAGAAAAGATAAGAGGTTCTTATTTTATATTCTAGCTTGTCAATATCAGAAATTTGAGTTCCTAATTCATATGAAACTACAGACTTTGTATTTGAATATCACAAACATCTAAATTGAACCCGTGCTGCATTCAACATACCACATTACACAGAAAAATCAATGTTTAGGAGTTTTTTTTTTATATTTAATTTTAAATTAAGAAATTAACTAATGTATAATACTAGAACTTGAATTATAATCTACAATTCGATACCAAACTTATTGACATAAACTCATGAAATAGTAGTTGAATAAAACTTTGAATGCGAGTCAACAAATACAATGACATGGCCTTTGAACTGTGATATGGTAAACTCATGCAAGTATGCTTAAATGAAATATAAAAAAAAGTTTCAGCAAATGTCTTATAACAAGTTAGTTTATGATTTGAGCTAATAAGGTGAAATCAGCTAGATGCTGTTAACTCATAAATTACTAGTGATAATTGATGGAAATGATCTAATATTTTGAACTATTGGATGAAATTTATAGGCTGAAAGACAATTTAGTAACTCATAAAAGCAAATTACATACACACAGATATCAATAATACTACGTAAAGTACCTTACATGGTTTTGTTGTAGAAATATTAGGGTCTGCTCCACACTTTAAAAGGAACTCCACCATCTCAAGGACAGTGTCAGCATTGTTATTGCTCACCATCACTAAGTGTAAGGGTGTTAATCCTATTGTTGTTGTGGTGTTAACAACAGAGGCTAGTTTTTCTATAAACAAAGATACAAAAAGTTACAATTAAAACATAAATAAAGTGAAACATATAATTAAACAGGTATAAAATACATCCACAATTAACAAGACTTGTTTCTATACACTCTTTTTTGTGTGAAATCAACATTTAACTTTATAAACAAGCTGGTCTTTAGATACTCTTATTGTTTTTTTGACAAACCAATTTTGGGCTAGAAGTTAAATATCCACAGTTTAGACAGTTTTAAAATGATGTCTCTAATAAAATGACACTTAGAGTTTAAAAAGCTGTTACACTGCAAAAAACCAATCATTAACTTAACCAACACTCAACAACCATTTTCAAGCTGCTACATTACTACTCAAGTCCATTATTGCATTTTAGTTTTAATAGTGTTGAAAATGCTCTTATTTTTTATTACATATTTTCTTTAGCAATGGTTTCATAGCTAGTATGCAATTATAAACACCTAATATCAAATACTTAGTTTTATTAAGCTTTAAAGACATTATTCTATGATCTACATTAAGCACTGACTGTATATAGTTTTTAATTGCTACCCAAATATATTGCTAATTTTTTTTTCTAATGATATTAAAAACTGTTAATTTGTGATCAATATTTATATGTAACTTTCTTTAATAGTTTTCCAATCTTTTACTTGGTTACAAACCTTTATTGTTGATTGTCTTTAATAGCAGTTTTAAAGTTTCTATGTTGCTACCCATTGCAGCATACATCAGGGGGGACAAGCCAAGCCTACTCTCTTTCACATCTATTTTAGCTCCTGCATCCAACAAAAGACGTATTACTTCCAGGTTTTCACTGTCTGGATGGTTAATCTGCCACTTGATGACTAAAATGTAAGAATCAAAAATTTCATAAGTGTCACCCTACTTTTAAATTAAATAATTAGTAAACAGCTTTCATGGCTTCTGACAACTCTAATAAAGCAAATACTTCTCAGTAGTATTACCATGCTGGTGTAATAAATGAACTAAAACAAGTGGTAGCACTGGACTGGGGTTCTGATAACTCAGATAAAAACAATAATATTTTACAGTGTCATTCTGTGAAAAATAACTTAATACAAATTGTTACATACTGGACTTTCAACTGGATTCTTTGGGTTTGACATATGACTCATTAAACAGAAGTATACCTTAATGGCTTATTGAAACAGTCACTACATTCTACAAGTGAAAAATAACACTGTATTTAAACACTGTATTCTGTGAATTATTTTTTCTGGATGGCCAACTTTAGTGAAAATTGAAGTGAACTATATAAAACTGAAACCTCATAAAATATTAGAAAAATTACCTTCCATCAAAGGAGATCGACCCCATTCATCAGTGATACCTGGATCAGCTCCCTTTTGCAAAAGAAAATTTACTGCTTGTGTAGCTTTCTTCCCAGTCAATGTTCGACACATTAGAAGAAGAGGAGTCGTGTTTCCATCTACACGCACATTGATCATATCTGTTAATAAAAAAAAAGGTTATTTCAGGTATTTATTACTATTATTACATATTGCTTGAGTTCAGTTTTATGTTTTATTGAAAATACTTTTCAACACTGTTTACAATCTATGCAACATTTGATAATGTACTTACTTAGTATCAGTTAAAAGATTAACACTTTCATGGCAGTATTAAATGAACCAAAGTGTTATCCACAAGAAGTCTTTAAAAGCACTAACAGCTTTGAGGAAGGAAGTGTATAAGTACATTAAAAAACGTTACAGTTTTAACAGACTCTGTACAATCCATAAAATCTTATTATGTAACACCTAAATTACTTTGGACTATCAACCTACATAAAACACCATGCAAATACAAATTTATTGGTCGTGCTAGAAAAATCTATCACAAATGATTTGTCAATTTTAATAGGTAAGAATCTGAAATACATTTAAAAACACTTAAACAAATACTTTAACATTATGAAAGAAAGAACGACTATTAATTGATTCATTATCATCAGTTATTCCACTGAATATAGAGAGAAAATTTGAGGCTTTGAAGAAAAAATAATAACTTTTGATTTTAGCAATTTTTTACATCAGTCTTCCTATCTATAAAGTCCTTCATTAACAATTACAAGATCTTTAAGGAGTCTGGTAAATTAATGCTTTGTGTTACTCATAAAATTACCAATTCTAAAAGTATAAAAGTAAGGAAGAATGCATAACAATATGTCAACTACACCATATCTGCCATATACAGTGCCAAGCAAGACCTTTCCCCCATAATAAACAAATTTTTACAAGCTGTGTATTCTTTTACTTGACAACACTTTTGTGTAATTTGACCAACATGTCTTCCAATAAATACAAGGAATATCCATGAACGTAACTGCAGTCCACAAGTTGTAGAGTTATATTTATTCAAACTTAAATTACCATATGTAACAAACCTTAGTACAACGAAAGACTATTATAAAGCCTTTCAACAGAAGTCATGCTTACATTGATCATATTCTTTTACCAAATCATCATGGTTTTCTTGACAGAGCCAAGCAACTTATCTATCAGAATTCACTTTGAAAATAGCTATTTCCCTAAAAACAAAGCACATTATCTGGACTTAGATATTAGTGTTGTTAATCGAACATTTAACTTCAAAGTTTTCAATAAAACAGACACTTTTAATTTTGAAGTTATAAACTTTCCATTTCCAAATACATATACTGCAAAAAAACTTGTATTGCAATACTTGCCACTCACAGCTTATTAGAAACAATAGAATTTGTTCAACTTTACAAGATTTTGTGGCCAGAACTCATAAACTCAATCTCATTTCTCACAAATGAGATTTTTCCTACAGCATTTTGAACCTCATATTCATTCAGTTTTGTGGGGAACTCAACAATCGTCTTGAATACAAGTTATGGGCTTAAAAGTTATACAAGAATATCATGAGTTTTTCACACTTTAATTTTTTAGAAAATGTTTGATGTAATAATAAAGCTCTTTGGTATGGTGACCACCATTACTTATATCTCTAACTATTGTTAATGCAAGCTATGTAATAGTTCCATATAAATAACATAACATTAAGTTATTAATAAAGTTACATTAGTCTTTGCTAACTACTATTATATTTACCATTGTTTTTACATACTTTTTAAGTCTTATTATTACTATGAAATTTTTGGAATCTTCTCTTGTTTACTGTTCAGCTACTACTTAGGATTTAACTTTATCTATTACTTCCTGTTTCCCACACTTTGTATGTTGTAGATTAAAAGGGGTTAGTTAAACTTGGATTGGTTGTGTTAGAGAAAGTTCATAGTATGTTCAACGTTAATATTTTCCTTACCTTAAAATGTATTTCTGATAGATGCTTCTGCACACATATTAGTTACCTTCCCCCCTCATATCTGCCTTAGAGATTTACATGCCATTTTTCTTTAGGCAACTCCCACCTAATTTCATGAGATTTAATATGAACTGAACTACTGCATATGATATCATCATGCTACAAAAGCCCTCCACCAATAGGAGGGCAACACATCTCCATGCACAATTACTCGCTCTATGCAATTGCACTTGAGAATCTTCACTCTTTGATGAGGCAAGGAAAACAAAGGTGTACCAGAAATGGGGAGGATGGGTGGGAATGTGTGAAGAGGTGAATATTTATCAGAAATACATTTTCAGGTAAGGAAAATATTAAATTCTGAGACAATACCTCACCTCTTCACACAGTTTAGCTAAACTACCACACTGAAGTGATTGAGGGGCTGATGCAAATTTTACCTGGATGAACTCCCTTCAGAAAGCACCTGAAGGATATCCAAGGAGTGTAAACACCTGATGGAAGGAGCTCCATAAGGGCACACCAGTGGAATACCACATCTGGTCTCATCCACAGTATATTCTTCACCCAGAAGGTAAGGGAGGAAGTGACAAAAGAGACATGTTTCACATGGAAGAGCAGAATAAGAACATAACCACACAAATGGTCAGAGAGTCAATATGTGTAGCATGGTTAGTACATGTTCAGACTGTAACTTGTGTGCTCACCTCAATTCTACTGCCAGACTCTATAGGACATCCTACAGCTGTGGAAGGAGGACTGAGTATTCATGCCATAGGGATTTGGATATAGTGTGCACACCTCAACAGCGGCAGGAGGAAGGCACAATACATATATAGTATGGTTACATATAGTGTAAATGCTCACCTCGACTCTACTGAACAGACACTGTTTGCAAGAGGAGGGCACACTTGTGGAATGCTTGCTCACCTCAACTCTACTGGACAGACACTGACTGCAGAAGGAGAGCACAGTGTCTTACTGTGTGTTCACCTCAACTCTACTGAAGAGACTCAGGCTGTAGAATGAGGGCACAAGTGATATGGGTTAAGTATATGAGGGGGTGACTTGCACAACTCTGACAGTCACCACTGCCTCACTTTCTACCATATTGGTATTCAACTGTATCCTGCCCAGCATATGAGTCCAATCAGTAAGAGCTCTTCATGGTCTATCACCAAAGTGGCAAGGGTTTCCCATGCTGTACTTGTGAGAGAGGGAGCGTATGTGGTGGGGAGACCTAAAGAAAGTGCCTGGATCCTCATCAGGCCTTCAGTCCAGAAAGGTCTCTTACTCTTATTGTTATTGGAGGTAGTGCAATGGGCAACCGTGAAATCCTATTTTTAAAAGCCAGCAAGCATGAGCCATAAGTGGGCAGAATACTTCCCAAGTAAAAGGTATGGTCAGAATCGGACGAGTAAATAAATAAATAAACATATATATATACCATGAGGATAACTCAACTGGTCTTGTAGAACACTCAATCTCACAGTGGGCACAAACAGAACCAGGGTAAATGCAATGAGTGCTTTCCATTATCCTGGCTTGATGCAGATTTTGAGTAAGTATACCCTGGGAGGCACAATCAACCACCTAGAAGGATACTATGAATGAAAAAAGGAATCTGAAAGAGAAATAGTAAATATTATTCTCAAAAACAGTGGGATGACAGCAAAATGTCAAGCTGTGGAAGCCAAACACCATCAGGAAGACAAAACAGCCAGATGTAAGAGAATGAAAAAAGGTGATGAAAAGAATGTTAAATAGTCTGCAAGTATCCACAACTCAAAACAAACATGCCAACAGGAGGAACTGACGTAAATAAGAGCCCTCCGAGAAGAAAATTTTTTTTTCAAAATTTTTCCTTCCACTTCAGCACTGGTCCTGCCATGTATGATTGGTATCTAAATCTTTTTCTAGTCTGATTTTTTTTTTATAAAACAGCATCTGGGTGTGTTAAACCTCAGTTGTAAAACTGTTAGCCAATCCTAGTTGAAAGTGTTCAGTACCATGTTATACCAATCACTGTATTTCACGTTTGACAAATCATAGGATGATAAGCAAAGCACGTGACGAAACGTTGTTCTCTGGATTTTACAATATGAATGTGGGTGGTGCTTATTAAGGTAACTGCCATTTTATATAGAGGTTGTATATAGTATTTGCCAATAGTACTTTTCTATAAGCATTAGAAAACTTGCTTCTGGAAATAACTGCATGGGGTGTACGTGACTTTTATTATTTTTCTATAGCAGCTTAAGTCATGCTGCATCATATATCTATTTATATTAATCATTATATTGAAAAATTAACTCAAAATAGATATATTTTTTAGAAAGAAGTTGATCCACGATTGTTAGGGTTAAGAGCTATCGAGTGGCGAGTGCAAGGTCTTTACATGAATTAGGCTTAGCACTTTGAACTGAAAGAGTTAGTGATTTTTTTATTCTTTTGCATTTAAATTTCTAGTTTGAAGTTCAGTAATTTAGCATAGTTTCATATTTAGTTCATAATAATATGATTCAGTATTTAGAATGATAAATGTTAGGCTTAGCACTTTAAACTGAAAGAGTTTGTGATTTTTTTTTATTCTTTTGCATTTAAATTTCTAGTTTTAAGTTCAATAATTTAGCATAATTTTATATTTAGTTCATAATAATATGATTTAGAATGATAAATGTGTGTGATTTGTACATAATACTACTAGTACCAGATAAGAATTTTATATTTTTCCTTCTTACAATCTTTACTTTGTAGTAACACCCACACTTCTGTTATTATTGCTTTAGAATTAAAACAGTCTAACTGATATATATAAAGTTTATTCTGATATTTTGCAAATGGTTTAAAACTCAGTGTACAGGTAACAACAATAAAATTAAAGTTTTTGAAACAAAAGTCAATGAAAATGAAAATAAAAGTTTTGTTAACAATGCAAATCTCAATAAATTAAATGTAAACAAGAAAATCTCTAAGGCAGATGCACGAGGAAGTTAGATATAATGTGTAAAGAGATAAGGCATCATCTTAGAATTATTTTTTTCTGTTTATAGCATTTAGCATTATAGTATAAATATTCTTGCAATTTATTGTACAATTATGTTTTCATTTAACTGGTTATCTATTATATTGCATCTTCACATACAATAGTTTTTTACTGTACTAACTACCTATACAACCTGTTACCCAACTTATATAGTAATATGTGTCATAGTAATTTATCTCAAATGTCAGGGTACTCCAAATTTACACTGTCTAAGTTCTTTAATGGACATTCATTGATCACAAGATATTGTTAGGAAGGACTGCAAAGCTATTCAAGGAACATTAAATCTATAGATAGTATATGAAACAAACTACAAGCAATTATGTATAGTGTAAGTAAGATATACAGACAGACATACACAAACTACTAGTGTTTGTGTTCTGCAAGTAAGATATACACACAGACAAACAAACCTGTTGCTGTAGGTATGGGTCTTACATAGAACTCAGGCAAACAAGAAACACAGGGAATATGTTGGAGAGAGCTAAGAAGATGATGAATAAGGATATTTGAATATCTTTTGAAGGAAGAAAATAAAGAACCTGAAAGAGAAAATAACGCTAATTTAAATCTAAAGCTACAATTCAGCTCTATATTCAGGATGAATTTGTCAAAACAACAGCAACAAAACTATTAATAAAATATACAAATTTCAATATCCAAATTAACGTAGCTAATTACTAGATACATTTCTATGATTTTATTTATAGACTTAAAATAATAAGCATATGTTTTAAATTTCATATAAACTATTATACTCAGAAATTTCAAAGCTTTCTGTGTAAGCCTATAAACAAACTAGTTACGAAAAACATTTCGGTCTGTACAAAAAATTAAATATGTTCACACATATTTCTACATTTCTACGCAGGTAAACTACAGAAAAACTATCTCCCAACCCACTAGTAGCTTTTTGTTTGTTATGGAGTGTTCATTAATATGGTACTGTTATGATAGTGAAAGTCACGCAACGCTGGGTGCATGCATGCTGGAGTTTCTTGAAGGATCATGAATTTTCCTGGCAATTCTAGTCTTTTCTAGGCACCCTCTATTTTAGTATATAAGCCTGACAAATAAAGTGGAGACAAAAATTGAAGATAGACAGATATACACTGAGATCACAAGTAAATAGACACCTAATTTTTCGTCATTTAACTGATTTATGCTAACT